CACTGGGTTGTTACATTTGACCCAGGAGCTGGATAACACAAAAACCAAACACTGAAAAAGTAACCTAAAAAATAACCCAAAAGGCTCAACCCAGCATTTGGGTTAAAAAAATAACCCAGGATTTTTTTAGAGTGTATTCTTAGAAATAGCGGCAATTTCTTACAACAAACAAAGTGTAGCGTCTGGACCACTCAAACACACAATATATATTTTGTTAGCTAGATTTCACAAATACTCCAACACCCCAGGTTTATTGGCCAAAAGTATGTAAAGCAGGGAAAATCCCTGCATGTCCCAAGGAAAGGCAGAGTAGAAATGGACTGTGTTCTAGTTAATTCATAGGAAAACCGTTATTTGAATGAACACACATATTCTTCAGGCCATTGGGTATATTATTGTCATTGTGTATTTTGTCTTTGATATTTGTAGACTATTTTAGTATGCTTGTGAGGGAACCCATTCCTGATCATCCCTTTTCACTTTTCACATCCCTTTTCTAGATCTGTTGAATATGCAAATGGTTCCATAAATGTCATTCCTTATGTCTCTTTCTGTACTGAGTTAAACTTTAACCCTTTCCTATACCAACTGTATGTGTGCGTGTGTGTGTGTGTATGTGTATGTTACACTAGTTTAAGTGTTTATGTAGTTAATAAAACGTTACTTGTATCACACTTGCCGTGTTCATTGTTTGCTCATAACCGGAGTCACTAATCATGCAGATTTACCTTACAAGGTTGGTAGAATTGTACAGTAAGAAAGTTATTTCCCTTAACCAGGAAATTAACGTTCTTAGAATTGACAAGACAGTTGACCCTGAGCGGTCAGCTAAATATCTACAGCGGATCTAAAATATGAATAGTTAATTATAACTAGTTATGGTTAATTATTCATATTTCCTGTCGTTGAGCTAAAATTCGCTACAGACTAATAATTCAAGAGTCTTTTTGACTCATTTGTTAAAAGAACTGGCTCATAAAACTCATTTGTTTGCTATACTGGTCATCATGACTATAATCAGTGCTTTCCTAAAAACACTCACAAATGAAAAGAAACTGTAACATCAGTATCAATACTTGGGTCTCGGAGGGTTAAATCATTTAAGTTAAACAATCTCACTGTAATAAAAGCCTGTTTCCTTCCAAATTTAAACGGAAAGATTTGGTTGTACAGGGAGGGAGAATTTGTAAACGTTTAACGCTTGATTAACATTGCTTTAATTTTCTGCAGTTAAACATCTGTGTGGGTAATTGCTTGGCTGATTTCATCGCCTCTCTCCACAGTGCCCTCCTCATTTGATACATGAACCTGGGGAATAACAACACCGTTTGATTGTTGGAATTCTAATAATGCGCACTGCACCATGCATCCACAAATAAGAACTTATGAGATGTATAAAAATCAATACAAGCTTGAAACAACTCCAAGTAAGTGTGATTAGGAGCAGAATGTGTATGAGTGTGAGCGTACAAAATTACATTGCCACCTAAACAGTTGATAGGGCTAAGATCCCTGTCTAATATATTTTAAGCCATGCTAATTGAAGTCCACTGAACTGTCCAGAACCAGTGCAGAAGTTTCTGCGGTCTAAGAGATGATGATGTTTTCGTATTGTGTGGAAATGGGGAAATAAAAGTTGTGCTTGACGTCCGCGCAGAGGGAGTTGTCAGGTTTGATTTATGAAGTGAGGCCTTCTGCCTGACTGCCACTAACATGTCAGTCTCCGCAAAATGGATGAAGCCCACAGCCCACTGTCTTCTGATTGGCTTTTTCCGGCTCACAGAAATAAGGTGCCCATCTTCATACAATAACTAATCTTGATTAATCCAGGATCCCCGCCAAAATGAGAGATGGTCTTTGGGCTGTTTTTGTTTCGGTCGCTACATGATTTGGTGCTCTTCTGAGGTCATCGCCACTGAGGTCTCATTTTGCACCAGACTGCTCTCCTCTCAGCAACACTGGAGAATTTGTAATGCTGATCATCATGCCACAGCGTAGCACTGGTGGGCCTGAAGTCCCCCGCTGTCACACGTAGTAGAATATTCTGACTTGCATACTAATGAAAACAAACTTCAACATTTCACAGATCCGAAGCAAAGAAGTGCCATTTGGCATGTGCGAACAACACACTTATTGCAGCCCATACATGTTTGGTTTTCTCGAATGTGACTTTTGACTCACAATCCGTTGTTTGAATTTCCCGAAGACGACATAATTTAGTAGACCTTTCTGTAAAAGCAATTTATGGCTGACTTCTATTGATTTTGGTTATGTTGCTGACAGGCAATAACACGTGTTATTTAGCTTCCAGCAGTCTGTAAACAATCTGTCATCTGTTGTTGGTTTATTTTTGATTCCAGCTGTATTGCGACCTGTCTTCTGCCTTAATGCAGGCCTGTTCTTTTTTTCAGCACGGTTACAATGTTTATGTATTTTCTGAGCAGATCAAGCGAACGACGAAGATGAGGAGAGAGGGGAAAATCAATAGTTTTCAAGCAGCACATGACAGTAGGTAAAACACGTTATTTTTTGCCGTCGCAAACCCAAAGGAAACTCACTGCTTCAGAAAGAGGCAGCGACTCGCCCTTAAGACTGCTTTTTTCTCTCGGCTCTTTTCCAGCTGGCTTTAGTAAACCTGTAATGTCATTGTAAAAGAAAAATGATTTATTTTTCTTTCTCTTCTGGCTGACTTCTATTGATTTTGGTTATGTTGCTGACAGGCAATAACACGTGTTATTTAGCTTCCAGCAGTCTGTAAACAATCTGTCATCTGTTGTTGGTTTATTTTTGATTCCAGCTGTATTGCGACCTGTCTTCTGCCTTAATGCAGGCCTGTTCTTTTTTTCAGCACGGTTACAATGTTTATGTATTTTCTGAGCAGATCAAGCGAACGACGAAGATGAGGAGAGAGGGGAAAATCAATAGTTTTCAAGCAGCACATGACAGTAGGTAAAACACGTTATTTTTTGCCGTCGCAAACCCAAAGGAAACTCGCTGCTTCAGAAAGAGGCAGCGACTCGCCCTTAAGACTGCTTTTTTCTCTCGGCTCTTTTCCAGCTGGCTTTAGTAAACCTGTAATGTCATTGTAAAAGAAAAATGATTTATTTTTCTTTCTCTTCTTTTTTTTTTGGATGGGTTTGGAATCTGACTTGTGAAGGTCAGCAGATAAAAGGAGACTCAAGACAAAACTTATTGACAGAGGCAGTAACGCGTGTGGAAAACTTCACCCAACCCCCAGTGCTGCCGTATCCAAACACTTCACAAAGTGTGTGCTGAGGTGTGTGGGTGGCCGCTTGCTATGCCTGTCCATGAGCGACACGGTAGAGGTTCTTTAACTGCTTGTTTCCCCGAATGCGAGGACAGGAAGGTAGCGATTCAGGCATGGTCAAGTGTTTTGTTTACGTTTAATCTTCTCTGTCTTCCTCTTCAGTTACCCATCTCGTTTAGATCTAAGATCTAACATTATGAGAGTATTTTAAGTCTATGACCCCATTACATGATTCAGTTTTTAATTTCAGGATTTTTCATGGGCTAAAAGCATTGAGAAAAAATGAGCCTTTTTTAAACTTTTAGATGTTCTTCTGGTTAGCATCATGGCATTTGAATATGACTTTAAGACTATAGGTGAATGCCTGTCTTTTTTTTATTTTTTTTTTAAGTGTGATTATGTTTTCTGAGACCGTTATCACCCACATCATTAACAAACAGCTGCAGGAAAGTGGCAGCAACTCCTGCCATTTTTCATTTCTGACAATCACTCTTTGCACATAAAACAGCATTGTTACTTGCAATAATTCAGCTACTTTTTGTTGCCGTTTGCTTTTCTAAGAGGCAGTGAGTTGGAGCTCGTTAACTAAGTTTTGTTCAATCACGGCCTAATGAGAACTCGATTGTATCACAGGCTGGAGGTGGGGTTAGATTAATGATCCCTTTTCATTTACCAAGAAAGGCTAAATTTGCCGTATGATGAGCAAAATAACATATTTTCTCCCTAACACTTCCAAAGGATGTTCTTGATTTTCACACATTTTCTTTATCAGATGTATCTGACATCTGTCTATCTGTTCTCTGTATCTCTCTGTGTTTCTCTTAATTGAAACTACAAGTTCCCCATAATTCCAGTCTGACTTAATGGTAGCAGCAGTTATTTTTCCACTCAAAAATTATTCTGTCATCATTTAATGCGTTTCTTTTTTCCCCCGGGGAGCAAAAAAGGTACAATTCTGTATAATGATGCTTACAATGAAAGCTTATGGTGACCAGGGGCTCTAAAATTGGGCTAAAAAACACTGTATAGTACAATAGTAGTCTGTATGATTGTTTGTGTAAAGAAAATACCTAATTGTAATCATTGATTTAATTTGCTTGCCAATATGCCACGTGGAAGTATCACGGCAGATTTAACTGATGCTGAATAGTTACAAACAATGTATATACCAAGGTGTTTCACTCATATTTCTGTGAATGGAAGAAAGTGCAGTGCGCAATATGGTAGAATTTCCAGACTTTCTGAAATAAAGTAGCCAAAGTCATCATGTCACATAGAAACAGTTAGTGTTTCGAAGGTATGGTTAAATTCAAGCCAAGTAGCTTTGTGTTGATCAACATGGTGAATCCATGGGGAAATCATTCGCCCTAACATGCAATTCCTGATCATACAGATTCCTATTGAAATTACTGGATTTTGCCCAAGAAAATTCACTAAACCTTAGTAAATGTGATGTGATCACCTTAAGACGCACACTCGGGATTACACATATTCATTGGCTGCACCAAGCTGAAATATATGCTTTTCCTCATTTAAGTAATATTTGGTCCTAAATGCCCAAATATAGCTGTTTGTTGCAAATATGGCCAAAAAACTTTCTAGGTACTTGATAGTTTGCAGGTTTCATGTGATTGATCACAGTAATACAAGGGTAAAGTTGAAGGAAGGTTGAAGCTCCTTAGACAAAGCTGTCATACAGCTTCAGAAGACGTGAAGACAAAGTGGTATGGAGTACTTCTATGGAGACTTGGGTCATATGGGTTTTATAAAATATGAGGGTGAGTAAATGCCGATCGTTAAAGATCCATCCTTCCTAATCTGCACTCCTTTTTTCCTTAAAACATCTCCAACTGGTAAGCAGGCACTCAATTTGGAGGTTAATCATTTGAGTTGACATATCTCACCATTCCTTATTAGAACAGAATACAGCCAGCAGGTTGGAACCTTGAATATGTCAGTATACGTTCTCATTTGACCAGCCCAGCTGCATGCAACTGATCACATTTATTAAAAAATATACCACATAACATTTCTTTTGCCATACAGTGCCTGAGTTCTACTCAGTCTATTACAATTTGACAAGCCTCCAGCTTCTTTTAAAAGAGCCTCGCGTGTGATCAAAGACAAACAAAAGTAACAGGAGAGCGTAATGTTCCAGCTCATTTCGGAGTTTTCTAATTCTGCCGGGTGCAGTTTCTAGCGGGGGGAGGTAGAGCCGAGCCCCGTCTGCTAATGAAAATGCACTGAAGCAGGTTAAATGCACAGAGCAGGAGCCAAAGGCTGCTCTGATTGTATTGCAGGCAACACCGTGGCAGCGTGTCTGTCTCCCTGCTCATTTGCATCTGATGGACTTAATAGGAGTTTGTCTCCAGAATGCAGATGAATGCACAAACAAAGGGCTGGATTGGAACCGATTCCACCCACCCTACTGAGTCTTTCTGCTTTACTGTTTTTTTTTCTTCTCCTTCTCTTTTTCCTATTTCAAACGATACGAGTTTGTCCACTCTCACAGCCACTCTCAGTTATTAAAACCGTATGCTCCTTAGACAGGAACGGCGAACGGAATTAGCTGTTATTGACTGTTTTGTGTGTGCGTTTGTGGCTAAAGTGGCGCTAGTTAATTATGTCTGGCCCTTAATTATGCACAGTTGCTACCCTGCAGCCAGTCCAGGTGTGTGTGTGTGTGCGTTGACACTGTTTGCTAGCGGGAGGGAACGGGAGGAAGGACTACCCCAATGTGTTTATTATTCTCTGCAGTTGCTACATAGATTCATTTTCTGCATGAGAGCACATGGGTAGGATGAGAACGTTTTACAAGAGTTTCCTAATGAACAGTGCCTGCGCTGCACAAAGCACAGTGTGTCTAAACAATCTTGCTGGTACATTTGTGTGCTTTGTGCTGATCGGAGGGGTTTCTCATTTTTCAGAAGGGAGATATTTTGTCATTTTTTTATTTGCTTGTTGAAATGTTTGCATTCAGAAAACTTTTAGGAAGTTTTTAGTTTAGTCAGATTTGTCTGGTGAACCCAGAAGAAAACTGGAAAGAACTCAGTTGCTTATTCATATCTCAGGAGTCTGAATAGAGTTTGCAGCTATGTTTAATTCAAGCATCAACTTTGTTTTAGATGTTTCTCCTAAAATTGCTTTTTTAGATGTTTCTCCTAAAAGAGGGGGTGCAAAAACCCTCTTTTGGCATTAAAAAAATGACTGTGGATTTACTAAAGACACGCAGTGAGAAATTAGCGATAAAAAGGCTTGGACAGTAATTTCTGCGGCTGACCTTGTTGCATATGCATTTGTAGGAGTGTCCCTTTCATACGCGAAATTTATGGGAGGAGAATATTTAAATGAATCACGTAACATGATTTACTGGGGTTTGTGGTGGTCAATTTAGTGGTATTTGCGCCATTATATACTGCCCAAAAAAAGCATTTGTTAACTAATTTTGCGCTTGACACAGCTGCGATTGTTGCTGCCAGTATGAGCCACTGCAGAGAACAGAGTGTGTGGTAGAAGGGAGATCATTTTTTTACACTCGTATTAATTTATTTGGAATGCCAGAGGAAGACATTATCCGAACATATCCTTACGCTAATTTGCACTGCTATTTCGTTGGCCAATATGGAAATGAGATATTGCGTATGCATTCTTTAATTTGCGCATTGTCCGTAGATCACCCGCAGAACTTCCCACTCCAATCGGCGCTTTAATGGAATTGCGCTCTCACGCTAATTTGCCTTGTTTAGTAAACCTGGCCCTAAGACTCTTCTTCAGCTTTAAACTGATCGTGACAGTAGACATTTATAATGTCACAAAAGATATTAAAAGAACCAAATACTTAAACTACTTCAGTCTGTGTGCATACAATTTATTTAATACACGAGTTTCACAATTTGAGTTGAATTACTGAAATAAACGAACTTTTCCACGACATTCTAATTCATTGAGATGCACCTGTAAATGCTGTTCTTTTGAATTTCCTTAAATCAAAGAATCATTAAAAATTTAAATAAAGAGCTATCATGGTTTCCACAAAAATATTAAGCAGCACATATTAAGTTTTCCACATTGATAATAAAAATAAATGTTTACTGAGCAGCAAATCAGATTATTAGAATGATTTCCGAAGGATCATGTGACACTGAGGACTCGAGCAATGATGCTGAAAATTCACCTTTGCATCACAGGAATTACATTTTACGATACATTCAAGTAGAAATCATTTATTTTAAAGTGTGATGATATTTCTATTTTTACTGTATTTTTGATTAAACAAATGCAGCCTTGGTGAGCATAAAAAACTTATTTCAAAGAATTGATCCCAAACATTGAACAGTACAAAATATACATTTTGAAGTCTTCTTTTATCCACATGGTTGTTTTACATTTTTTATTTTAAATATCTGATTATAAATTGAATATACTTTCATGCATCTATAAAGTCATAGCATAGAGTTTTAACAAGGACTAAATTGCACCAAAAGTTACAATTGTGGCATGTTTGTTTAAAGATGCTCACAGATAGGTCTCTTCCACAGATCTGCAAAGGCCAATCATGAGGTTGATGGGGAGTCTCATAATAGCATGATTTATATGAACTGCAACTATATTCATACAGCGATATTCAATTGCATTCAAAAACTTGAATGCAAGTTTGAGGCTTGGTGACCTGATTTGGTTGTAGAAACATTTAAATCCCATTGTACATTGAAATGCAACATGTTACAGAAGTTCAGTGGGTTGTGAATGTTCACATGAATGTGAAAACGATTTTAATGTTAATGCACAATTCAGATAATTTTATCTTAGGGTTTGAGTTCTTACTGACATTTATTCAGTTGATTGCAGACTAAAGAAAATCTGAGCACAGTTTGAGACATTTTTTGAGACCTATTTAAGGAGGCACTTGTGAAATTACAAAAATCATTTTCTCCGTAGAAAAATCTGAGCAGCAGGGAGAGCATTTGTTCTCCATTCAGTCTCATACTGAAGCTGCCTAGGAGAAACAATAGAGATACAAAAGTTCTCAATTTCAAGATTTTCTTTTGCTTGAGATCTAATGCATAATTTCTTACCTTAGAAGTATATACATCGTGCAAGCCTCTAAACTTTTAGGTATTCCCGACCAGGCTCCCCTATATAATCAAAACTTTATACGTAAGAGTGATTTATCTGTAGAACAGCTCTTGGGTTTCAGAAGGCTTTGGAACAGTTTGTTTGGTCAAACCCAGTGCAGAACGAGATGATTATTCATTTTAATGAAGGTTGATTAAATATTTAGAACATTTAATTAGAAATCCAGTTCTATTATTGAGAGTGTCTCGATTATAGCACAATGTTTTTGAAGAGTCCTTCATTAGAGAGTCCTTTGAGCATTGGCTGGGCTCACAGGGTCTCATTCTGACGTGCGATCTGACGTTTGGGGCATCACCTTTCTAGTGCATAGAGCAGCTAGCAGTGATGAGCCTGACAGGGAAGGAGGGATTTATTAATGAGGCACGGTGATGTGGGGACTGTGACCCAAGCAAAGAAAACCTTCCACCCCGGACAGCACCAGAAGAACTAACATGCCCTCCCCTCCGCCGCCGCTGTCAGCTGCCAACCAGCAGGAGTGTGATCATGTTACACTGACGGCTCGTTGACTGACAGTTGTGCTGCGGTCTCCCTGTTTCTCTAACTCCTCATTAAAACAGAAATGAGTGGGAGCAATCACTGTCACTCAAGTGGCAAAGCTACACGGGCATTAATAAACACTGAGAATCATGGGGGAAAGAATCCTGCTGCAGTCTTCTGAGCTGTGGGTTCAGTGAGGAGAGTTTTTGAACCTCTCTTCTTGCCGTCACTCTCCACTATGTGATGGCCAGATGCTGATCGCGAGCATGTGAATGAATGTGTTGGTTGGAGTTCTGATGTTTGCGACTGACGGGTGGCAGTGAAAGCCACACTGATCCATTCAAGCCTGTATACTACAGGACACACACACCAGATGTGAATTGTCATTCGCTTTGCACAGTGTGTAAGCTGTTCTCCTGTGAGTTTTTTTTCACATCAGGATGGTGATAACAAAGGGAATATATATATATATATATATATTAGCATGTGTACTGTGTACTTAAATTGATATTATTCTGAACAAAAAATTATGACTATCTTGCTTTTTTAGAAGACACCCACTAAAATGTAATTCAGTGTAACAATACAAATCTTGTTATGCATATTTTAAACATGAATAATTTGGTGACAAATTAAAAGACTTTATTTAAGGATCACAGTGCTGTCATGTTTGTGTACCATTAAACCCCTGATAAATATCTATATTAAGGTGAATTGAAGAACAGTAGCAAGCTTGATTTGATTAAAGATTCTACTTACAATCCGTAAAAAGTTGTTTATACACTTATCTGACTTCTGAAGTACATTTTGTGAAGGAGAAATAGTAAAGTGTAAATTAATCTAAAATGCTATTTCTAGCTCTTATAAAGCGTAATTAAAATTCTATGAAAAAAATCTAAATCAGATCATGTTCTTCCTATTTGATTTAATATAAACAAGTCCTATTTTTGAAGAAAAAAAATACATAAATATATGTTTACTTTTAAGGAACACAAGCAGATTTGTTTCACTTGTTTATACTTTGTGAATAAGTGAAAAAATCTGCCGTTTTTAAAGGGGTCATATGATGCGATTTCAGTTTTTCCTTTCTCTTTGAAGTGATACAAGCTCTTGGTGCATAAAGACAATCTGAACAGTTGCAAAGACTAAAGTCTCAAATCCAAAG